CCAAGAGTCTTGGAAAGCGTGAGTTCTTTTTCTCTTCGCTGCGGGCTCCATCGTCCAAATCACCAATCGGCTGAAAACTTGCCACTGTGTCAAAAGCTATAGCCAAAGTTACGCTTTTGACTGCCTGCCTCATCGACTTTGAATTAGGGCTCAAACGATTAGTCCGATTAACCGGTTGCAGACCGGTTACGAAGAATTAACGGTTAACCGATAAAGATAACGGTTACGCAGTAACTTTTCAGTCAATTTTTCAAGTATCAGGTCGTTGCAAAGTGTGCACTTTCGCGGGCTGTCGCACGCGTACGCAATTTCTGGGCTGTCAACTCGGTCATATCTCATTATCTGGTCTCTTGGTGTGAGAGTATGTATGAATGAGCATGCAAGAGAATGTACGAGTTTGCGTTGTACTGAATAGGGTACATTTTTTGAATGAGTATAGTCAAATATACGGTTAAAAAAGAGTCCGCAGGATTGCCGTGGCTTATAGGTTATAACCGGTTAACCGACCGTTAGCTTAGCAGTTAACCGTCAGGGGTAAAACCGTGACCGTTTGAGCCCTACTTTGAATGTCCTGACTTCCTGCTCGCCGCTGGCAAGATCGCGCTCGAACCAGTTCAAGCAGTTGACCCTAGCCGAGTTTCTGTCGCTTGTAGACTGTAGACTGTAGTGTGTAGATCTACCATGGTGTACGGTTGCGCTAGATTTGCAACAGATGGGGTCCGCGAGTCGTAAAACACCCGTATTTTAGGAATCCATTGTCAGTTTGAGACATTTTTCAGCCGGGTCAGACTGGACCCGGTGTTATCTGTTCAGCCAGGTCGTGCAGTTCCCCAGCCGGGCGCGTGACCCGGCTGACCCGGCTCTCCAGCAGGCCCTGAGTCCTCCCTGGAAAACGACCAAAGCTGTTCGCAGAAGTACCGGCACTGTCTTGTAAATAGAAGGGGGCGAGTCCGCTCCATCTGTAATTCTGTATGAAACTGCAGGAGGTCTCACCGCTTCTAATCTCTTGGTTCTCCTCTTCTAGGAGCGAGGCGCCATGGCGATACTTGCAATGGGGGTGCAAACTCCAGAGGAGCCAGTGCCAGTTGTCGTTTCTTCTTCAATGCCGGCGGGAGCGTATCATCCCACGGTTCATCACGCAATCGGTTCGGCCACCTCCAGCCTCAAGGCACAAGAGTGTTCGACAGCAAAGACGCTTCCAGTACTGTCTCCGACTTCTGAGCGACGCAATACAGGACAAGTGCGCAGAAAGGGACTTCCGTACAAGACAGTGCCGGTACTTCTGCGAACAGCTTTGGTCGTTTTCCAGGGAGGACTACGTGCGTATTCGCGCCCTGCGGCGCTGTGTGGTTACGGAGGAGCGCATCCGTACCAATGCAAGGCTTCGATGGAAGCTGTCTAGGCTTCAAGCCCAAGAAGATGCCAGTACCGGTACTTCTGCGAACAGCTTTGGTCGTTTTCCAGGGAGGACTACGTGCGTATTCGCGCCCTGCGGCGCTGTGTGGTTACGGAGGAGCGCATCCGTACCAATGCAAGGCTTCGATGGAAGCTGTCTAGGCTTCAAGCCCAAGAAGATGCCAGGGAAGCGCATGAGGCATGTTTGCCCGCGTCGTCCTACCAGAGTGGGACAGCCCTGGGTAGTCCCGGCCGGACGGAAATGGAGCATTCTCGGCGAACGCTTGTCATGGACTCGTGTGTAACAGACAATGCCAGACGGGTATTGGAACTGGGACCCGGTTTTGTACCGTCCACGGGAAAGTTAACCAGTCGTGAGAAATCAGAAGTGGTCACCTCCGTAGAACGGATGGCCTACACTTTGAGATGGCAGCAGGCGCGGCCTCAGGGTGTGGAACAGCCAGAGGACGACCACGATACCGGTACCGAGTGTGATCGCAGGCTGTGGAAGCTAAAGAAGCATGGCTTCAAGCAACCGCCCAGAATGAGCCAGGATGGGGAAAGAAAGATGGCCAACTTCAAGGACGAAGTTTTGGCAGCATATGGCAAACAAAGACCTCCCAAGCATAATATGACGCAAGAGGAACGCGACGGACTGAGAGAACTTCGTCATGACCCCAGTGTAGTGATAAAGCAATCCGACAAGAGCAAGAAGCTAGTAGCTATGAAACAGGAACTCTACCTGGAGAAGGCAGAGGCACTTCTGTCTGACAGCACTATGTACAGAAAAGTGGATCTAACTATCACTGCGTATGAGAAAGAGGTTAAATCCATACTGGAAGAGCAATGCACGAATATGGATCCTGATCTTCTGACTGCAATACTCCCTCATGACACACGATTCCCGGAACTATACGGTCTTCCAAAGGACCACAAGCAAAATTTGCCCCTCCGACCTGTTGTCTCTGCTTGTGACAGTCCAGTCACAGGAATTTCGGTGGTTCTCGAACGCATATTGCATCAACTGCTTGAATTTGTCCCATCGCACCTCATCAACACCAAAGACGCGCTAGACAATATCCGCACCATATACCCTGGCCTTAAAGCACCTGCTGGAACGATTCTGGCTACGATGGATGTGGTGGGTTTGTATCCCAGCATACCGATCGAAGAGGGCGTAAATGCCGTTAGTGACGTGCTAGAGCAACACTATAACAGAGTTGATATGCTCGGGCTGAGCGTGACCCAAGTCAGGACACTACTGAAGTTTGTTCTGAGTCATAACTACTTCAGATTTGGCAGACAGATCTACCACCAGCTAGATGGGGTTGCTATGGGGAACAACCTGGCACCTCCATTTGCCATCCTGTTTATGCACACCATTGAGACACGACTTCTTCAGGACTCACCCTTCCAACCTATTCTGTTCAGACGATACATCGACGATATCATCATCCTATGGACACATGGTAGGCAGCGCCTTCTGGAGCTCATAGAAAGATTCAACGCCAGCCACGAACGTATCAAATTCACGCATGAATTAAGTTGTGACAGTGGCTGCATAGACTACATGGACGTAACGATCGCGGTTGGGCAAACCGGAGAGCTGTCATTCAAATTGTTCCAGAAGGCATGCAGTAGTGGCCTACTGGTGGATTATTCATCGGCAGTTCCTCACCACATCAAGTTAGCCGTTGCTCAATCTCAATTCCTAAGGGCACAGCGACTATCGTCTAACCCCATGATGCAAGCCGAGAGCGAACAAAAAATACACAAACAACTGCGCATAAATAACTACCCAGACAGTATCATATCGGAAGCAAGGGAAGCTGCCAGGAAACCTCGGCGTAGACGACGCGGTAATCCCCGCTCTGCCTTCCTTAACCCTTTGAAGCCCAGCTGGGTTTTCTGATTTCCCAGGCACTCGCACCGCGCTGCACGCAACCACGGATGGTCGACTTCAAAATTTCATAATTCACTCACCACCACTGGAATTTCATGATCTGGAGCTCCCTAAAAAGCTTGTGATCTCCTCCATCCAAAGATAAAGACTAGACACTAAGCAGAAGCAACAGAAGCGCCTCCAAGTCCATTGAGTGCAGCTCTATCGCGCCTGAACGAGATACACCACCCACAGTGACAATTTCCTTCGGTTCATGACTTTTGCTCAACACAAAACAACGATTCAAAGTTCTCCGTGCTGCTGAAGCTCAAGCGATCATCTTGGTACCCATCGCGCATGGGCTGCACTGGTATGAGTCATGGGGAAACCCCATGCGCACGCGAGCTCTACTCGAAAATTTCAAAATTCTAAAGTTTAGAAGTATTCAACCACGTTCCGGTCTTCGCCGCTCGGGTATTTCGCATCGCGCTGCCACAAATGACACACCGCTGGAAAGGTCTTTTCCTTACCTTACCAACAAGCTATCGTATGTGAAAATCAAAGAAAGGACAACGGAGATACGAAGCTTTGTACAGTGATCTATGCTCAATGCGTAACCAGTGCGCGTTTTGCACGAGTATACTCGTCCTTGGGAAATCACTAGGGACGAGTATACTCGTCCTTGGGCTTCAAAGGGTTAAACTACCGTTCAAGTCCGATGAAGTACACCACCATGTGAACAAAGCAATACGGAAATACAAGTTGCCGGTACGTGTCGTATACGAGCACTCGGGCAGCCTCAGGCGTCAACTGTGCCGTTCGGCGCTGTTACCACCCAAGTGCGTAAACGAGCCCAACATTACTGAAAAAAGACGGAGAGGACGTTCACTAGGGCCTTGCATTACCTGTCAGTCTGGAGGCGAACGAGTATGTATGACAAAGAATGTAGTCTACGAATTGCAATGCAAATGGTGCCGGGAAACGTATGTAGGGGAGACGGAACGCTCCTTGGAAACAAGAATTCGGGAGCACAATGGCGAGGCACGCCGTCGCACTCTCGATAAGCCATGGGGTGACCACGTGCGCGACAAACATTCTGGCGAGAGTATAGCTGCTGCGGATAGTGTGTTCTCGGCTGTGTCAGTCCTGGCAAGGGCAGGCGACAGAGCAAGCAGAAAACTGCGAGAAGCTGTTGAAATCTGCAACTTGCGGCCGCAAGTAAACACTAATGCTGGCTGGGCACTACTGTGAATATATCGTATCTGGATATTAATATATCACCAATCCCTTTCGCCACCTTTGTAGCTGACCCATTTGGCGCAAACACAGCACAGCACAGTATATTTGCTGCTCCTTTGTAGAGTGCACATCATTGCAAACCTGATGAGGGCTATATGCCGAAACGTTGTTTTAACTACGAAAATGTGTTCGAACGTTGCAGTGTAAATAGAAGGGGGCGAGTCCGCTCCATCTGTAATTTTGAACTTGAATGTCGAGCAAATATAATCTTGGATAAAAAAGGAAGGACAAAATATTATGAGTTAAAATGTTGCGACTATTGACCAACTGTCCAACAATGCATTCAGATTCTTGGAAGTGTTGTGCCCTGTCGTCGCACTTGCCAACTGTATGATCTGGTTACAATGGTTGACAGTTGTTCATAACTGGAAAACATTTCGTGCTTCCATTATTTTTCCATGAATAAAAAAGTCACTGCTCTTACCTTCTGCACAGACTGTGGTCATAGCAGAGCCAGTAATACGAGCTTGGTTATCACTGGTCTTAGCGATACTTCCATGCGTTCCATATGTTCCCGCCATCCAAGCTGGTGGAAAACCAAGTTTCATGGAAAACAGCCAAACGCACTGCATGATATGTACTGGTGGTAGTGCCATATCTCTTTGGATACAATCATGACTGGCAAGTTCATAATTGGATCCTGTTTCTTTTACGAAGTAGTAAAGGTTGTGGTAACGGCATTCGTGCTTCACAAAGATTTTATCATCTTCATGGCGATTTGTACCTTGATACACGTAAAGAACACAGTTGCACAACAAATTGTGTAATTAGAAAGTCGGAGATACCCCCTAGTAGCCCCTACTATAAACTGTTTTCTGCTCAATGGGGGATTGGCGTGCAGTGGAAGCTGCAAACCAGGCTTAAGGAAGATGCGAGCTGTGTTTTTAATTCTGATTAGGCCATCATTTTTTATAGCTATGTTTCGCGTCGTCCGCACGCATACGTTTTGAAGTTTTTCGGAAAAAAATAAAAAAATCTTACATGCACGGTGAGTGTACGATCGTGGGAGTCATCAGTGTGGACTGGTTGCATACGGTGAAGCTGAGATTCAGAAATGGCCTCTAGGCCACCGTTGGTAAATCGTTTGGTCGGCATCTGGGAGCAATATTCTATGAGCTAACACCAGACAGCATTGATCGCCTCAAGCTGAGAGGATGCGTCGTTCCGGAGGTCTTTGCACCGCTGCTGAAGTCTGAGTACAATAATCCAGCGAAGCATAGGCACCAACGGTTGCCTCCTCTGTCCAAAGTGAATATTTACTCATGCTGATAACCCAGATGTTGTCCTTCGATGAACGAATTTTCTTTCGAATGTACACCATGCACGAGCTATTGTGCTATGTACCGTGCATACACCTCTGATGAGCCTTTTTTATTATTTGGCAACTTTTTTATTTTTTTCCACCTCTCGCATATGATTCTGGAAGTTGAACTGACGCGAAACATACAGGGGCGTCACAGGGTTGCTGGGAGTGGTACGACCGGGGGTCCGGGGGTGTCCCCCGGAGAAAAAATAAGGATTTTTCGGCTAACAGGCCACGTTTTAGCACTCTACAGCCGCAAAGGAGGGTTCCCCTAGCACTTATTAGACAACCCCACTCCAGCTCCAAAAACATACTTCTCATGGATTTTTGGTATTTTCTGTACATCGTAGGTAGCCAAGCAAGGCAAATGGAATCCATTCAATGATTCAGGGCCATTGCCCTCGAAAAAATCGCAAAATCCGAAGTACAAGCGTGCTGCGCGTTCTAGCGCCAGCGGCTATGCAAAAACGTATGTCGTGTCCTGCAAAAGTCTGCCGCGTCGCGCACACTATGTACACGTCCGGCCTGGACAGTCGCGAAGTAATTATTTTAGTTGTTTTTAGAGAGAGAAGAAGGTCCTTTGTTTTTGTTCGGTGGGATTGAAAGATCTGCCAGTGGACCGGAGAGCTACAACAATGGAAGCAGAAGAAAGCGCTTGCGGAATCTTCTCTGTCTTCGTGGCAACAGGACTTTAGTTTGCGAGAGACTTTCGTCCTGTCGTCGCGGACGAAATTCTTGTTGCTGCTACCAGAAAACTCGGGGAACGAAACGATCGTAAATCGTTATAATATAGGTGAAGCGGGTCGTGTCGGTGAACAGCTGCAGAATATTCTGCCGCCGTGGAGCAGCAGTCCAAACACTTTTCAGCTTCGGAGAATGAAGCGCTTCCCTTTTCCGTTGACAAGCGCTGCGTTCGCGGGTGTAATGCATTTTCGAATCCGCTTGCAGTAGATCGTCAGGAGCCAGAGGTACTAGGTAGGTGTCGTTGTGGAAAGAATATAATTATTATGTTGTAGCTGACAAGTGACATACATGTAGTGTCTCTTGACGTACTGATCGCCATTGTAACATGGTAGATCTTGGAAAATTTTAGTTCTGGACCCAGTGATCGCCGCCAGCTCAGCTCTGTTTCCGTCAAGTTTGCAGTGAATGCGTCCATGAGGAATCCATCGTCTGGTTGTCTCTAACCGTGACTCCAACCGCCTATCGTAATGGATAGCCGCCTGGAGTCTTGGGCAATAGCTAGCTGCTAGTGCTAGGCATCAAGTCTGTATGCTCCTTGCAATGAAAGTAACACTACTAACAGTTGCGATGTTTTGTACAAGTCCGAAGATCCTTGAATTTTTTTATTGCTTTTTCGGATGAATTGGGTGGACCATCCTGGACGAAAAGTGGTACGACCATGGTCGTAGTGGTCGTACCGTGTGTGACGCCCCTGACATAGATATAAAAAATGATGGCCTTATATCTATAACAATGCGATAAATAGAACAATGGATGCCAAAATAATATCAAAATAAAAATCATGAAATGTAGAAAAGTATAATATGTGATAGATAAAAATTTGTTCTATTATCGCGTTGTTAACACTCCTTTCTCCGAAACGTCTCTTTAGTATTATAGCTGTGGAGGGGTATTTATGACACCAACAGAACATGTTGAGTCACCGCCACCATTACACTGCGCTCTTTAGCCGACTAGACCCTCCTGCTCACAACCATCACCATTGCGAGGACACTTCCGTGGACGATATTGATAAACTCCTTCAGACAGCTGTTTCGCTAATACATAGCTCATCAGTGAAGGTAGATGTTGAATGATTAAAAATATAGACCAAACTGCTGTTATAAAGGAGGTTTCCACATAACGCGGGAAAAGGAAAGTGTGAAGTACTGTTGACGCGCATTGGACATGCATGCAGCGTCGGAAATTCGGCGCGGAAAATCAATCACTATTCAATGCAGAAATAACGTGCCAGAATCAGAGTACTTTGTAGCTAGTGAGAGTCTGTGTACTAATACTAGTATTGCAGTTGTCCGAGCGCCATGAAGGCCTGCGAACGCACCTCACGACCCGCCGACGTCGACAGTCACAGCAGCCCCTGGGGCATGACACTGTACTGATCGCCCGTCGCGCCAAGACGCTTGCACAGTCACCACTACACTAGGCTTCATGCCACCGATGTCCGCAAGCTACCTTGTTATCTGCCCATCACCCACTGCCGCTGGCACGCTGGGAGGCCCCGCAGCATTCGCCCAGTATGTCGTCATCAGAGCTGTGTCAACGGTACAATAACGCTGGTAGAAACAAAGAGTTGGTCGTATGGTCATACGACCAACTCATATGTCGTATGTCGTACCAACTCATAGGTCGTATGGTCATACGATCAACTGTTTGTTTCTACCAGCGTTAGAAGCCAAGAGCTCTGTCGCACCCTGTAATAATACCAACAGAACATGTTTGCAGAAATTACTTTGTATTGAGCTACCCAAGATCCATTGATGTCTATTTTCAACATACTGTTCTAAGTGCAGGGAATGACATCACTGTGTCACAATGGCCAACCAGGGAGAGTACCGACCAGGGAGAGTACCATTTTTGTCATCTAGGCGCAGACTAAGCCCTCACCAGGCAAATCCTACACACGTTTGGGCTCCTACATACGCGAGTGATGAAAGGTCATCGATATCCCGTAAGTCAGTCAGACACTTTGAGGAAGCACTTTTCCTCACAAGTCGTCGAATCAATGTTTCGACACAACTTGGTGTTCCTTGAACACAGTCTGCGTCTGCAATTCCGGAAAATCATCTCAACTGATGATTGTTTTTATAGTGTTGTATTGATCACCAAGAGGACCATGGAACGATTTTCGAGCTACACTCGGCTAGAGAAGAACAAGACAATGAACTTTGACTACGAACAGAGTAACTGAACCTCACTTAGATCTAAGTTCTAAGTCAAATGATACCTCCGTTGTAACTGTAATGGTCATTCTGTAAACTCCTGGTCTGTTTAATGCCTGCATTTGAATACCGTATTTCCCCGTAAGTTAGTTCTCCCCAATGACTTAGTACCCCTCTATAAAGAATACACTTTCCACTGCCGAGGTTATCACCCCGAAAGACAGTTCCCCCCGAAAGATAGTAAGTTCGTACCCGTCCTACATGTACAGACACCGTACAGTACATACATGTACATCATACGCACGGATACTAGAGTAGTGCAGGCTTCCCACTGCATGTCATTTACCCCCGATAAAAAAGTACTCCCCGAAAGATAGTACCACCCCCGAAAGTTAGTACTCTTGTGGCTGCTAAGTTCGAAAGTTAGTACGTACTAACTTACGGGGAAATACGGTAGTGCAGGAGGCACAATTCTTGTACTAGGAATTATGCACTCGAATTTGAGAAAGTCGATGTGCACCGGTAACACTGAGATTGAACGTAGACTGCACCATTTCACAAAGGCATAATAGAATTTAGAATTTCATTCTTAGCTCGTCTATCACTGACGTAACTAACCATTCTTTCTAACGATGGACGCCATTGGCATTTGATGCTTTCATGTCATTCTGCATAATTGCATGCTGATGGCTTTTTTTCTCGTTTGTATGTGTTTGTATTTTGAACATCTAACAGGAACTGGCCTCAATAACAGAATCTGACGGATATGGAAGGAAAGAATGGAAATAAATGACCGTAACACAGAAGAAAAAAAAGTAATAGCCTGGGCTCCAGAAGTGCCCAGGAACCAACAGAAGCTGGTCACATACGCGCAGGGGCTCGCATATTCGCATACCAGAACGCATGGTTGTTCCCGCGTTAATGGGTCACTTACCTGTCCAGCAAGTCGCACGAAGCTGTAGTGTTTGCTTATGTACTTTGAGATCGCTGGCACGAGCATCTGTCGAAGAGAATTGGTCCAAAACCCAGTGTTCTTCCTGATATTGGTCATAGGAGTAAGCCCAGCGTGTGAGTGAATCAAGGCAAAAGTGCAGGAAAGGTAATGGAATTTTTGTTCCTGCATTCTCACAATGGGTTTTGGCTTCTGCGTAATTGACATGCTTGTAGGGAATAGTCAGTACAACCTTGTCCTGGGTCCAACAAGTTGCAGCTTGTTTGGCTAAAGACACACAATGTAAAGAAAAAATACAACACAAAGGCAAGATTCGTGGCTGTTATTACAAGTGCTAGCAAACACAGACCCACAGAAGTATCAAGGAGAGCAAACGTTTAGAAACACTGCTTTACTGCCTGCTGTTTCCGGCTTTATTTAACTTATTCCTTGAAAATATTATGTCAGATGCGCTGTTCGACTTTGACTGTTCTGTATGGATCGGTGTAGTTGTCATTACTAACAAGAGTACATAACCCCCCAGAGTGTGCAACTCCACTATGGGTGCTGTCCCGACAGAATTTCAAGTTGACGTCATTTTGATGATGCAATGCGCACTGTACACGGATTATCAGACGAATCCGGAACCTGTGGTTGACCGAAGCCGATCGATCCTGTACAAATTATTGCAAAGAAAAACGTGTGATGCGTTGACACCCGTACACATGTTGTAAATCACTGCTGCAAGGAGCATTGCGTCATAAATAATGACGTCAACTTGAAATTCTGTCGGGACAACAGGGTATGTGGGAGTTGCACACTCTGGGGGGTTATGTACTCTTGTTACTAACTTACGTTTCGCCAATGAAAATGATCTGATAGCCATGACTATGCAGGAGCTAGTGGTATTGACAAAGCGTGTCGACCACTCAGTGCGGCTTTACGGAACGGAAATAAATGCTTTTAAACCAAAAATCATGGTGACCCCTGATCAACCCGTTTCAGCTGGTGATCCTGCAGTGTCTGTGGGTGTCGTTGCTATGGAGTGGGTGCAACTATTCAAGTACCTTGGAGCGACCTCGCCTGCAGATGGAACATCTCACGTCGAAGTCAAGAAACGACTGACGATGTCAACATCAAAGCTTCAATAGATAAAGACGTTCTGGACTTGCTAAAGTATCCCTTTTAAGATCAAAAAATATGCTTTTAACTGCTATTGTTCTTGCTACTGTATTCCATGGTTGCCTGACGTTGACCATTTGACTAGCTAACCTAAATAGAAAAGCAGAACCTTTGAGCTAAGTCAGTCCTGCAGGAAGTCAAAATTGCTATTGGCCCATTCACACGACTTTATTCAACTGTTAAGCCCACCAAGCAGATGTGTTTTGGACCTGTAGCAATGCATCATGATAGCTACACCCACTATTTCTTGGATGGTGTGGTGCCTGGTTTAGGACCCCGTGATCGCCCCCCCTCACACGTCACATGAAATTTCGCACCTATGAGCGATATCCACAGAACCTGCTGGGAGAGTACGCGTGTACAATCAGCTCATGTGATAACATTACACGACACTGACCGACGGTACTGACGGTCTACAACCAACTGGCTAACAGCTCTAGCACATCTTGGATGCGCACTCCAACAGCCTTCCAACATCAGCTGATTGTTTAGTAACGGGTGGTGTTAGTGGACAGTATAGCGTAACTTGTAGTTCCTTGGTCTTTCTCTTTTGTATAAATTAAACCTTGGCTCTCCATCTGAGTCCATTCCATTGAGAAGTCTTTTCGCTTTCATCGTGTTGACTTAAAAAAGTAAAAAACAACATCAGTTCGATTTTTTTGCAAATTTAGGCATTTTGAAAAATGTCGAAAATGTCGATGCCTCATATGTTGCGGCCATAAGGTCTGTATTGTATATGTCCGGCATGGCATATACACATGTACATACTCCGCATTTTTATATGCTTAAGAACGTTGTCACATGCAATGCTGAAAACATATACTCACTTGATGACTTGCACATGATTTCAGCAGTGAGTGCGTCGATCTGCTGCTGGTTAGTTCTAATATTAAAAGCAATCGGAACATTTGAGACTGGGTTGAGCACCCAAATGAAATTTTGGGTTAAACTCGGGTTGTTGACCAGACTGGAACTCCGGATTGTTTGAGCTTCGGCCAGCGTCATCAGGTTTGTACCCACGTCTTCACACGCCATGGTAGCCCTATCAACTGTTGTCTCAAGATGGCTGTAATACCAGTGTTGTCCGCCAGAAGTTAGGGATGCTTCACGATGCAGGCAAACGAGAACAGAAGAAGCAGGAAAGAAAGAAATCCCAACATAACCCAGTCATTCTCTATGCATCGTGGAGTGGGCAAAGGCAGAGATAGAGGAACTAGATCGACAAACCCGGTTAGCGCTGTACAAAACACACGCCCGCAACCGAGGTGACTCTGCCGCCAGGGTCCACCTACCTCGTGATATGGCCGGCCAAAGAATCTCCTTTCAGCTGTGCAGCCACCTGTGTGTTCGTTTTTTGGTTCTAGCCATTAAAAGGTGTAATAATTATTTGTGTGGAGCTCGTGTCCGCTCGGAGGTATGGATTGTCTCCAGAACGTGCAATACGTGTACAAAGTTCATGTTGTATGACCTACCGACAGGATACCACCTCCACACTACGACCACGAAGGGAAAACCCCACAGCTGGGAAGCAGCCATCGGTTAGGTTAACTCAGTCATAACAACATGCATAGGCCAGCAGGCATACTAGTAGTGGGGTGATGAAATTGGCGATTGAGTATCAGATGGTGTCAGGTGTAAACCATGCTCAGAAGTGGAAGACAGTTTCCCACCAGCGTGCGACCCACGATTACTTGGCAACTTGATGCATGGCACGAGGGAATGGGATTTTTGGTCTTTGACCACTTGAGTGGGGTTTAACCCTCACCCCCTCACCCTACCCGTCTACAACGGAATTCGGAGCTGGATCGGTTCCTTGATCGGAGGGGAGTGGTGGTTTTCATAAGGATGCAAAAAGTAAACGTGAACAGTGCTTGAAAAAAATTAAACTCCCCAACTGGCGAAAGAGTGTTGAAAACAGTAATGATTTAATGATTTAATGATTTAATGATTAATGATTTAATGATTGCCGATATCATGCACTCTATATACAGTAGTTACTTACCTAACGTCGCGCATTTCGGCAAGTTATCCCATCTCCAAGTTTTACTATTGCTTCTCTCAATAGTTGCCCTATTTTGGTTACGTCCACCTGCACATGGAGGGCTAGTGCAGCTTTCAAATGTAGGCCAACGACATTTGAATGTCGCCGTCTCGCGTTCCACGTAAAATTGGTCTGTATACGTGTGCGCGATATTTATTCCGTTTTTGCCTAGCAAACAGCAAGGAGAAAAAGCAGAAAGAGTTTGTAAAGCACAGATGGAAGGAGGCTGCTCTTACTAATGAGAAAAAACTCTGATAAGGCTGATTGGTCGTTTCCTGGACAACGAGACAGACCTCGTTCTAATTACGAATAACTGTCCACCAAGGTAACGAGATAATAAACAGTTAGATAGTTCGAAAACATGGTTTTGTGCTTTGTTGTGGGACTATCTGACTGGTTATTATTAGTATCTCGTTACTTTGGTGGAATGCTAGTCATAACTACAAACACACAAATTGCAGTAATGTATAATCTTTTTCTCTTTAAATAACCAATACAACTACGGCTAACTCCATTTTATATAACCAATACCACTAAGGCTAACTCCATTTTAGGGAAAGTGCAGGTCAGCATAATGTGTAATATATGTAGTAGGCCTCGAGATTCATTGCAATTGCCTACCAGTTATAAAAACCGAGGCGAAGCGGAGGTTTTTATACTAGTGTGTACTTTGTTGAAGTAATTGAAATTTGAAATACAGAAGCGGACTAAGCAACATGCCTTTGCACATATATCGTTATCGCTTCATTACGCCCTGCCACCTGTTTTTATTCATATTATTAGTATGTAAGTGCAATAAATACTTCGGCTCTACATTTATTTGAAGAAGAGGTTGGTGCAACTTCGTCGATAGTAGTGGAAGAGTGTGTTGCTCCCTAAATGGGAGCTCGGGGTTTTCCTGCCGACTTGAATTCTCACTTGACTGACTCACGACTGCCATCCAGAGCACACAAGAAGTCCATCGAGTCGTCCACTCGGCACACCTGCAAGAAAGCACCACTCCCTGCTCAATACACAGTGTTTCGGGGAATTCACCCCTCATCAGTTGAGCTTGAGTTGGCTGAGGAAGATTGTGCCTGAAGAGCACCACTTATAATTATAGTGCTCTCCAGGCACAAACATCACCGGGGATACAAACGTACAGAGCAAACATCTCGTGAACATCAGATAGCAGCGTGAGTCAGTGTCGCGCGTGGAGGTGCTGAACAAGCGCTGAGGACCAATGGCCATTCACAACGTTGTTGCCTCCTGTACATATATTGTATACAGTAAAACTACTCCCCAGATCCTTGCAGATTGGGAGGGATCACTGCCCGTAACACAGGACTTACATATTTACCGCATAAAATAATAATAGAAACTTGCACGTCCACATTACAACCGGCTATACAACTGTGTTACCCCATGCAAGAAAATATTTTTACTCTAATAAAATTAATATGACTGTTTGAGGTTATTTTTCGTCGAAAAGCCAGTTTTGCGACTGTAGATGGGTCAGAAAGGTGCCCGGTGCACAGAAGTGCCCGGATTACGGATGTACGAATCTGGGGAGTTTTACTGCGGAGTAACACATGGTGTATGCGACCTCTGGTTTTAGCGACCACCTGCTTTTGTAAACCGTTTTTACATGCATGGACAGTTCTGCACAGAAACTGCCCTGGATACAACAACCACCCGCCTTGTGCGACCAGCGACCAACATTTAGTGTACAAAGTACCTCAATGGACCTGCACACAGCGACCAAACGTAGCCAAAAGTGCTATCTTGGCTGGCAGGGCTGACTGCAACAGGGTTGAAGTGCATTCTGAACGACTGAAGGAAGTGCATGCAGTCAACAGAAGTGACAAGTGACAGTGCAGATTGCGCTACATGCACTTGAGTGAGGTGTACTTTGCTTGCATGATAATATTGTATGCTCCACACCTGTCAATATATTTTTTTGGAAAAGAAAGTTTTTTTCGGGGTAACGGCCTCTTCTACGGGCAAGATAAAGTCATGGAGATGTGAAAAAATAGAGATACCATGATATATAAAAAGTAATAGAATATTATTCCAGTACAATACATTGGAAAACTCCAAGAGATTCCAGGTAAAATAGGCGAAATTCAGTTCTCAATGGCCGATGCCTACCCCAGCACCATCCTGCGTCGGCAGGCCTGTCAGGCGCCTTCTGGACCCGCATAGCAGGAGGTCGACTGCATGGAACACTGCAAATTGGGTACGAATTCGCACGCAAGCCATGATGATTGAAAAGGGCTTGTCCCACTTGAGGGCGAGACGACCAGCAAGTCGCTTCTGATAGGTAGCGTATTCACGACGCAGCACCGCATCCGTGGAACACGCCAGTGGTGTGAAAGACCCACGGAGGTGGCCTGACGGTACTTCTTTTTCTTCGCGTTGGCAGTGCGGTTGGAAGTGGCTTCCCAGAATGAATGGGAGTAACTGGGTGCGTTGGCATCAATAATGCGGTTATCAAAAAACGCCACCCTGTTATCCTCCCACACACCCCGGGCAAGCCAATCTGCCCGAAGAGCAAGCTGCCCCGTCCGATCACCCTCCCGCCCCATGATCGGCTCGACGACCACACCACCAAATGCCATATCAGCTAGCTTTACATTGCTATCACGCAGATCATTGTGGTCTCGCTCACTTGTCAATATGAGTACATGGAAGTACAAGTGTGCAAGGGTACACGGGCAGACATGCCACGAATGTATGGAACCTGGTTCTAAAGACCACCCGGCTTAAAGGACTGCCTTTGCTAGCACCATGGGGTGGTCGCTTAAACCAGGTTTTTGTGCTAATACTTCCCATCTGCCGCTAGGGTTTACCGGGTGTTAGCGGCCATCGTGAGTTCCCTTTGGGAGCGGACACGATAATTTACTTATTTACTTACTTCCCATACCGGTAATTATAATCAACTGGAACCTAGTACCCAAGATATGTAATACGCAATTGTTTCGCTGAAAAATGGATGTCTTTGCCTGAAACTGTGAAGTCTTTGTTATCCCTCCCCCCCCACAATAAATAAACAACAACAACAACAACAACATTCCCTGCCCTATTATCCTGTTCATATACCCCCCCCAAAAAATACCCATGTAAGAACTTACCAAGATCGAAGCAACGAGCGTAGTTGATACGCTTGTTGTTGTGACACACTGGCTGCATTTTGAGTTCATCCTCCACTGATGGACAGCGCACGTCAACCACAGGATGTGGATCACAGTTCCACAAATGTCCTTTCGGGCATCGGACATTTCCGTCCTTGAAGGTTCTCTCCCATCCCGACACCTTTTGTGCGGGTTCACACTCTGCAGGCGACAGAAAAGAGGACCAAAATAGGAAGGAAAGGGACTATTGATTCAATAGTAATCCAGCTGTATCCGGACAATCAGTAAGCATGCATTTAAAAATATGGGCATAAAGTGTACAGTGCATTTTTTACTGAATACCACAGAACCATCTGCACAGCGGGGGCGGTGGCATATTGGATGGAAGTGGGGCGGGGCAAGAGTAACTCCTACGACCAAAGGTCTCGGAATCATCGTTACTCCTGTGCGTATACAGGGCATATGAGCTAGCTTCGGTTTCATTGAAATACACCCTGATGAAGACCCAAGGCCGGACAATTTGAAACTTTTATAGTTTCAATTGCAGTGGAAGGCCTTGTTTGTGAAGATGTAGGTGAGAATGTGAATGATAAAAAGAGCACGTCTGAGAAAATCCCGTGAATCTGTGCCACTTGACGACGCAAAGGAACAGGCCGTAGCCCAACCTGCAATGTCATATGACACTACTTGTCATTGTCCGCTACCTTTTTCATCATCCTGATATGGGGCATTGACAACAGGGTCCCAGTGGATCCCCTCGATTTCTCAAACCACCAATATTTTGCGAAAAACGAAGCAATGCATTGGCTCCAAAGGTAGCGAAACAAGGAGGTTTAGGGCGCGTTCAAATTGTCACTCTTTGACTTTTCGAGGAGTTTCGTTTTTCTGAAGAGGTGGCTTTATTGGCCTCTTCAGAAAAGCGAAGCTCCTCGAAACTCCACAACCTCATCCGATGGGAGAGGTGTATTAGTTTCGAAGAGTTTGGAATAGCTACGCCACGTAGTACGTGGAGATGATTGCTCTGTTCGGACGTCATCATCTCCCTGACAATTCCACTGAAATACTCCGTTCTAATGGGAGACTTCAACTAATCTCTTTATAAAATTTGTTTGAACAGTTGATGAAGACACGCGCCCTTAGTCCAACGTAATCCATGTATACTTTACGTGTGCGCACCACGTGATATTCAGTGACCCACGTCCAGCAGTTTTCTGATTCACGACATTTTTTTATTTTTATTTTTTACTAGAGCCACGTAAACCCGTCATGTGTGAGCCATGAATAAGGGGAGTGGTGGCGTGGTCTGGGATGCTCTGCCGACCTTGGGTCTCGGCTTCATCACAACCAGGCGTGCCAATAGCAGAGAGAGAAAGAGAGAGAGAGAAAGACAGAGAGAGAGAGAGAGAGAGAGAGAGAGAGAGAGAGAGAGAGGAGAGAGAGAGAGAAGAGAGAGAAAGAGATATATATATATATATATAAATAGAGAGGTAGGCGAACAAAATTTATATACACACAACAACAAGGTTGTCAGTTTCATAACACTAAAAGCTTTTCACCCATTTTCATCAGTAGGTACATGGGAATGAGCAAGAACGAAAACGAAGCCAGAATTTATACTGGGGGTAGAGAATCAGCAAGAATATTCTTACGCGCCTCAAGTTCACACTACACTACCATAAGAATGTATGGAGCAGTGGAAAAATGCGGGAAACAACACATGAAGGGAATGCAGTACCAGAACAAACACGTGATAAAGTTGTCAGTCCGGTTGCAGCTTGAACAGCCGCAGCACCTTGATGTGCTTCTTTTGTCGACACAGCTCTGGCCTCAAACTGCGAATGTACAGCGCCTCCAGTGTGAATCTGTGCGCGCTGTTCCGGGCTGGTGTGATCACACTGAAGCTGCTGTTGCGTTCCTGCGGGATGCACTCAGGTTGCGCCTGCAAATGCTTTGTGATGGCGCTATCACTTGTCGCCACACGTTTGTCAGGCGGCTTCTTGTACAGCTTGTCTGGGATATGCTGCTTGATCCTTTCCGAGAATCGCTGACATGTCTCACCAACGTACGTCCGCTCACAGCGACACGCATACTTATAAATAAAATTACTATTTTCAAGAGTTGGTGAAACATCCTTCGCGATAGACCTGAATGCGGGCCTGGTTGTATAAATTACAATGGGGGATACTGTAGGATAGCAGTTCAAAATTGCAGCTTTAATCTTTTTGCGGAAGGCAATGCAATTTTGCCCTTTCCACGGCAATTTTGTGATAATACGCGTTGCAGGTTCAAGTTGTGCAGAAGCTGTATCTGGGCTAGGTTCAAGAACGCTTGTCATGACTCGCTTGAGTACTTTGAGTGGGTAACCGTTAGAACACAGAATATCCTCTAGCTTAGCAATTTCAGCTGATAATAGTGATGGTGAGCAGATGGTTTTAGCTCTGAAAGTTAATGATCTGATCAAATTGATTTTGTTTCTAGTGTCACAAAACGAGTCCCAGCGGGTGTAAAGACCTGTGAACGTCGGCTTTCTATATACTGTGGTGAGCAATTCTGTGGAAGAATGCTTAATCAATACATCAAGAAACGGCAATTCTCACACTGGAGGCGCTGTACATTCGCAGTTTGAGGCCAGAGCTGTGTCGACAAAAGAAGCACATCAAGGTGCTGCGGCTGTTCAAGCTGCAACCGGACTGACAACTTTATCACGTGTTTGTTCTGGTACTGCATTCCCTTCATGTGTTGTTTCCCGCATTTTTCCACTGCTCCATACATTCTTATGGTAGTGTAGTGTGAACTTGAGGCGCGTAAGAATATTCTTGCTGATTCTCTACCCCCAGTATAAATTCTGGCTTCGTTTTCGTTCTTGCTCATTCCCATGTACCTACTGATGAAAATGGGTGAAAAGCTTTTAGTGTTATGAAACTGACAACCTTGTTGTTGTGTGTATATATATATATATATATATATTAACTGGTTTGAGGGAAAGAGACAAACGGGAAAAGTCTGAAGAAAAAATTGACTGCCACCACCAGGACTCGAACCAGGGACCCTCGCTTGTAGCCAGCGATGCTCTAACCACTGAGCTATGGTGTAGTCGTCATCCCAGGAGAGCCCGTTCAATATTTTCTTCAGACTTCGTAACTCACACTTCCTGTGAATCCACACATATATATATATATATATATATATATACTCAATCTGCGGACAGCATGCTGTTTCGTTCTTTTTGAACTCATCAGCGCAGCACAGAGAAAATGAGGCCGAACCTGATAGCAATGAAAATAAAAATTTCCAATCAGGCCCGAACGTACCTTGCCAGAGTGCTCAAACTGACAAGTCAGTGAGCTCTGAGAGAGAGAGAGAGAGAGAGCGGGGAGGGTTGGGGAGCAAGAGAACTAAATACAGTATTTAAAAAATGAGAGAAAGAGAAAGAGAGAGAGAGAGAGAGAGAGAGAGAGAGATAGAGAGAGAGAAAGAGAGAGAGAGAGAGAGAGAGAGAGAAAGAGAGAGAGAAAGAGAGAGATAGAGAGAGAGAAAGAGAGAGATAGAGAGAGAGAGATAGAGAGAGAGAGGGAGAGAGAGAGAGAGAGAGAGAGAGAGAGAGAGAGAGAGAGATAGAGAGAGAGAAAGAGAGAGAGAGAGAGAGAGAGAGAAAGAGAGAGAGAAAGAGAGAGATAGAGAGAGAGAAAGAGAGAGATAGAGAGAGAGAGATAGAGAGAGAGAGGGAGAGAGAGAGAGAGGGAGAGAGAGAGAGAGCGAGCGGGGAGGGTTGGGGGCAAGAGAGGGGGAGAAAACTAAATAAAGTATAATTATATAATGCGTAAGGGGTGCCCATTCAGATCCAGAGAAAAGAGTAAGCAGGACACGAGGCGTATGGCAATATGCAGCAGTGTGTGGGCAGATGTGCATACATCTTACAAAGTGTCAGTGGCCCAGTGCCATTGCTGGGCACCGAGGTGCCGGAAGACAGACACTTTGAAACTTTGCAGCCGTTTCCTGTCAGGTGGCTGGCTGAGGACGGCGGGTGGCATACATGCCGTGTATGGAGACTCACCCATGTTCCGCGAGAACGTGTGTTAAAATCAGAATGGAGCTCATTGTCTAAGCTGTGAGGGTGCTCAGCTGAGGGTGCTCAGCTGAAGAAGTTTCCGAAGCAAGAGATCACAATATTCGATCAGCTTCGAAGCTTCGTCTTTGGCATAACCCATCCGACCAAGTGATCCGGATATCGATCATCCGGATAGCTGACATCCAGATAATCGGCATTCTACTATAGTGAATGGGAACAATTCAGACAGTTGAGTTTCTGGGTGCTAAGTATTCTACTACTATTGCTTGATGCGCCATCACAGTTGTAATGAATGTGGGTGATACACGTATACAGGTCTACTCTCCATAATTATAACGTAATCTCTGGGACCACGCAAAAATTATGCTATATCGAGAGTTATGTTATGTAGAAAACCATGTGTAAAATACAAGATGTACCTTGAAATGAAGGGTATTGCAAGGAGGATTCAACCGTGCAAACATATACACACTGTACCACCATCGACATCAGATACCATCAATGCCGCAGAATATATGCACAATAGGACTAAACTGGCCAGCTACGGCTACAGCTTGATTGTACCGCGCACGTGAATCTACGTTGTATCGATAGTGTGCACATCGGAGACCGCGCCGTAGCGTGCGTTATGCCGAGGTTTATGTTATGTAGGATTACGTTGTCCAGAACAAAATTTGTATGGGAGTGATGCTGTTTCGGCGCGGGATTTGACTTTTTTATGTACTAGCGAGGTTTATGTACAAGTGAGAGTTGTTATATCGAGAGCAGACCTGTAGTTCATACAATGGACTCCAGTTCGCAATGCCGTTGGTTAGCCACATGAAACAAGCAAAATAAAGGCCCAAATTTTACAATGCAGAATGTCAATCGTAACGGGATGGTGGTTAGAATAGTAGGACCATTGGACAAATTAGTCTACCTACAACTGGGCGATGAAATGCAAGAGCTTAGCTCGTGCACAACTTCTTGTGCTTTCCTTCCACATACACCGACATAACGACATGGACCCAGACAACAGAGGCAGGAGCACACAGAGTGAGGGCAGTAGGCCGCAGCCAGATGTGACTAAAAAAAAATGAGTAAGGAGCCAGGCAAAAAGAACAGCAACAAAAAGAGAAAACATCAGATTCCATATTCGCAAGAAAAATAATTTTGTTGCGCGAGAAATCATTTCTCGCCTCACTCGCTCCGCTCGGCCGGCGAGAAATATAACTTTTCTTCCACCTTTCCGTACCTGCTTCTTTTAGGGTATTCATACGACAGGCACTTGCACGTTTTACAGGGAGTGACATACGAGAAAAGTGACTGTGTGGATTCACACAGCTGCACTCGACGACAGGCACGTTTGCATTTTTGAATGCTTCACTGACCACTAGCCATGGGTATTTCAAATTTTCAAAAACATGCATACAATAATTATTATGCTCTAAAGAGCCGCGTTTAAAAATCAAGTCTTGTTTCGCGCTTTTTGGTGTAAATGTATCTTGCACGCCACGATTATCGTGAAAGTGGGCCCCCAGTTCGCTTGCACTTTTCAGCCACTTTCAGCCACTTCTCTCGTTCACAGGTAAAATACCATAGCAACTTTCCGGTGCACATGGATTTGCCTGTCGTGTGAATACCCCATTATATGTTGGAAGGTTTCTGGTTTGTTCTTCATGGATCTGTTGGAGCGACATGCACATGAATGTGTCAGCTCATTCAATGTCTTACTACCCCTATCAGTTTTGTGCCACGCAAGAGCCGCTTGAGTCCATGTGCAGCACAACATTATTATTATTTGATGAGTGTCAGCCAAATTCACTTTCTATAGCCTCAAAGGTCATGGTCCCCATGTTGTGGGTTGTGATTGTTTGGAGCTATTATGCCTGAATAGGAATATTGCATTCAATGTCAACATGAGCACAATGTGAGCTCCTGTCACAGTCAAATCTGGAACGGCACCGGAGAGAATGGCGTGGTTCGATTTTCGATGTCAGACCACACTAAGCCACAATTCACAGAGCTCACTCAGACCTTTATGTGCTACAGTTGGTTGTAGAAGTCCAACTGTCGTGTATGGAGGATGCACGCGTCGTCAGATTGTGCACCCTGCATCGTTTCAGTTACGAAGCAAAACGGGACAGTTCACCAATACACTTTACCGAACATCGAAGATCTTTTCTAAAAGCTGTTGTGTGGCATGTTCTTCTCAAAGCTGAATGTCCTTATCATCAGATATTATTGATGACGAGTCCAAGCTTTGATGTCCATTAAAACAGACAGGAGCTGGTTTTTTTGTAGGAGATGGTGTGACATTTACGACATTGATTTCTCTGGTATCATTTGGAAAGAGAATGATAAACGTTCATAGCCATGTGCAAAACTTGAAAATTTCAATCAAAGATCTTGTGTTCAAGGATTCGTCTTGCTACCAATCACAATGATGAAAAGGGTCAAGGCTAGAATGTCTCCACTGCTTGCATTATTGCACTAATTGTCGATCACACTTGCTGGTACCGTAATGATCAGAAATACGACCCTTTCAACACAAGACACGGCCAACATTTTGAGAATCTAAACAAGTCGAAGGCAGCCTTCTCTTATGTCTTCATAACTACATGTAGATGAGTACACATAGATCCCGCTCCCCCCCCCCAACACACACACACATACACACACACAAACACACACACATACAAACACACACACACACACACACAAACACAAACACACAAACACACACACACACACACAAACACCCAGACAGACAGACAGCAGCACAACACAGACCGCCAGACAGACAGACAGACCGCCAGACAGACAGACAGAGACACCCACACCCACACCCACACCCCCCCCCCCCACACACACACAAACAGACACACACACACACAAACACACACACATACACATACACACACATACAAAGACTTACGTTGAAATATCTTCCGGGACCCGTCTTCTCTTACTTGATTGAGTTGGGTTCCTCCTTGTACACCCACATGCTCTAAACAAGCAAACAACACACAAGCAGACCCTGTTTTAATTTTTTTATTTTCACAACGAACACAAACCTGCTCGAGACCAAAGAGCTGAGAGCTGACTCACCGACGATGTCTTGCGATGTCTTGCACCGCCGATTTTGCTTACTGTAAATCATATTAACTTAGGGTTGGTTCACATAAGCAAAATCGGTGTCGCAAGACATCGGCGGTGAGCCAGCTCCCGATCCGTTGCGCATACGGTTTGAGTACCAAATCTACTACAAAGTAGTACAGAATGTGTCCAAATGCTAAGACAGATTTGCCAATTGAAGCTTGAATTCTTCGTTTCTTCAGTAGTTCAAGGTCTTTCGGTGATGACCACTGGTTGCCACCTTTTCCTGGAGATCAGGAAACTACTTCTACACATTTTATTGCAGTCTAGTAAGCGATGGTGTCGAAATTATGCATGCAAACGTTGATGAAGTCACAAGAACTTGCCAATGTATACATCGTATTTTTTATTTTTTCAATTGTATTTGTCTCATAAGTTGCACAACAGTCAAGCAGATCATCCGAAAAGGACGGGTTGGTATGCTGACCTATTTGCCACCTTGAAGCGATTACAAGAATGGCGAACGAACCTCGTCTCTAGCTTCAATTTTGGACAATTTAGCACGAGCCTTGGTTTGAACTTTTGACAAAGTCTGGCTTCCTGCAGCCGGCGATCACCGGCGCAAACGGTTCACAAACCACTTTTGGTCACAATCGTACGGGATCGGTGCCGGGGCAGATCGCAAGAGTTAGGCACTGTCCAACTTTGTCGGCGGTCCCTCGCGATATGTTACCGTATGATTTTGTTACGACTGCACTGGTTCACATAATCGTAATGCGCCGGGAGAGGTTGCAAGAGGCCCACTCCCGTTGACTCCCGGCGCGTACCGGTGATATGTAAACCAACCCTTAACGATATTCTGATCTTTGCAGGTTAACGATTTGAAAAGTTAATGATTTTCTCAGACTGAGACAGTAAAAAAATTGTTGGATGTATTAAATGTGATTACTAGCATACTGGTACATTTTTTGTAAAATAAATATGTTACATTTCAAGCACAGTACAGATCAATCTCAAAGTCAAAGGATGTACTAGTGCTAGTAGAGATTTCAGCTGGCACAACAGCAATAGCAATGTCTGTAGAGGAAAGCATCTAAACACCGTGAGAGGTACGGTCAACCCAAGCGACAGCAGCCACAGGAGACGGAGCAGCAGAATCATAAGCATAATCAACAGCAGATGACGAAGCAGCAGAGGACAGAGCAGTGGAGGACGGAACAGCAGAGGATGGAGCAGCAGAAGCAGCAGAGGATAGAGCAGAAGGTGGAGCAACAGAGGACGGAGCAGCGGTAGCAGCACAAGACAGAGCAGCGGTAGCAGCAGAAGACAGAGCAGCAGAAGACGGAGCAGCAGAAGACGGAGCAGCAGAGGATGCAGCAGCAAAAGACAGAGCAGCAGAGGATGCAGCAGCAGATGAAGTAGGAGGTGAAAGTGCAGCTGTGATGCCCGCCTCTGCGAATGACAGTTCATGACTGGTTCTTTATTTGGCAATTGAAGGGCTCGTTGGCAGTCAGATCAAGAGGCTGCAGCATGCCGGTGCAGCCAGCAGGGATGAATAGAACATTGATGTTTTTTATCCGAGAGCCCCTTCAATACTGCAGCACAACGGTGTGCAGCAAAGACATCCCAGATGAGGAGGCCACATTGCGTGTCCGCAAGATCCAGACGTTCACGCTCACTAGCAAAGAACGGGACGAGCACTCGGTCAATAAACTCCAACATGGTGACTTCGTTGGACCAGCGATTGTTGGAATGTGTTACATTCCACCCAGGCGGTACATTCCCGGAAGGATGGCAGCGGGTCGTCTTCCCAGCGTAAATCAGCTGAGGAGGCAACACTTGACCTGCAGCAGAAACGCCAAGCAGCACAGTCATCTCTCTCTTGTCGTCGAGACCAACAATGTCCACCTGCCGACTGCCCTACTCCGCCATTGTCCACTTGTTTACTGGGATCATCCTTGCTCCGGTTTGATCGCAGTTGACCACCATCATCGGAGAAACGTCGTGCTCTACCACCACCATCAGAAATTCAGCTTTTACAGCAGGGAAATCTGGGAGCGTCTTCCGGGCAGTTCTCGCTCCCTTGCGGGTTGACAGAACAAACAACCATTGAGTCGGGGCTGACTACTACTGTCGTGGACATGGAAATCCAGTCAATTGGCCGGGGCCGGCGCCCTCAGCGCGTACCAAACGTAAGTCATTGTATGTATTGCACAATCCTGTCGATCCGATGTGACCAGCAGCAGCAGAAGCAGCAGCAGCAGCGCATCATAATACATTATATGTTAGTGCTACGGCTGCATGGCAAGCGCCCTGGGGCCGCTAGACGTGCGACCGGATTTCCATGTCCACGACAGTAGTATCCACGATGGCAGCTGTGTTGGTGGGGCGTTGTGGACTCCTCCGGCCAAACATCTCGGTATCTTTGCACACAACGCGCACCGGGGGGGGGGGGGGGGGGGTCGTTAAAAAGAAAGAAGAAAGAATTAAGCCATCAGGTAGTATGCTAGTCTGTGGTGTACACGTCGACAGCAGTCCCACAGGTTAGCTCAAGGAGGCACTTGTACACTGCTACTTTGAAGCGTTGCAGCGCTGCCTTGGATGGGGGAGCGTTCTGGATGGCAGAGGGTAGAGCATTCCATGTTGTGAGTAGGCCGAATGGGAGGGATCGGTGTAGGATGTCAGGACTTGTTGCGGGGAGGGGATTTGACAACTGGAAGGCATGGGAGTGTTTCACTTGATGTTGGTGGCGGGTTCTGGGGTGGTCTGGGGCGGGCTCAGAGGCAGCAGGTGGCAGCATGTCTGTCAGCTGTACCGGACCGGAAATGTAGTGCAGCTTGAACAGGTAGCACAGTCCCGAGACTTGCCGATGCACTGATAAGCTTGGGAGCATGGTCCCAGCGCCAACGCTGCGCATACACCGTTGCTGGTTGCGGTCAAGCTTCGCGAGGTTGGACCGGACTGCGCCTTGCCAGACTAGGGGAGCATATTCCATGGTTGGGCGGATGAAGCCTTTGTCACAACCGTCGTTGATTCGAGGTGTGCTGTTTTTCCAACACCACTCCAGACGCCAGCATGCCAAACACTGCAGCGAAGCCGCCTCTACGGAGTCATAACCTTTGTTACGCCAAGCAACAAGCATTTCCTTCCCTGAGCAACTCGAATTTCGCTAGCAGCAGTGCAAAAACATATTGAAAAATCTCAAGTTTAGTGATCGAAGCTCGGCATTTTCCTTCCTGAATTGGTGAAACAGTTTATTTCCAGACAGCGAGGAGCGCTTTTTACGAGATCATTCTGCCCTGGGTCGTAGTGGAGATAGTCAACTGTCTTGCAGTGCATCGCTCAGGAAAACAAACGCTGAAAATGGTCATGTAGTGGAACCCACGTTCGACCAGCCAGCACTAACGCAACACTTCGGATTAGGAAATAAATTATATTTACAAGAGAGTTGGGAGAGACATAGAAGTTATTAGAACTGAAGAACTGAAGCACACTGAACTAAAGATCGACTGAACTAAAGAAAGACGGGCATGCAATCTGAGAAAGAAGTGCAGCTACACAGCTGACAAAAACTAAGAAAAACTGAAAGGCGACAAAAACAATGGAAGGTACGCATCACTGCAGATCGCGGACCACTCGCGCCTTTCCGGCGACATGACATATATGCAGCGCAGCTAAGCACGTGGCTAGACACATGCATGGCATGAGAGGTACCTAGGTGTACACATAAAGCGGAGGCGCGCGCATGGGTGAGCGTGTACACAGCATGCATAGCAACATACATTGTGAAACAATAGTCATAAGGCACCTAACATAGCAGTTCATAACAGTCACGTTATGGTCCTTGATACTGGCTATTTTAGCACTGCAACGAATCATTTGGTTTCGTTTTTCTAGACCCCAAACGAAACCTACTTGCAAATTTGACCGAATTCGGAGGTATGACCCAGCCAAGCTTTTCTGGTTTTCTCAGACATGCTCTCTTAAGCTGTGTTCACAACTGGTGCGTGTACGCGTGAGACCACGCGTTTGTGCGTATTTTTGCTGGCTTTTGGGGCGCCATGCGCACGGAAACGCGCCGAAATGGGAATTCCAACATGGAATTTTCAGCGCGTACCAGGGTACATGCCAGTCACTTTGACTGGCGGGTCAAAATATTAGTACTCGAAGGTGTCCCACACGCTAAATACGACTCAGATTGTTGTTTTTTGTGAAAGTCTGAGCGCGCTTTTGGGCACGCATGAACCGCAAGCGTACCATGTCCACGCGCCAGTTGGGAACACTGCTTTAAGGTTCCATGCCAAAAGGACGGTAATTTTGTACAGCTGTATAGCCATCGCTCTTTCGAAAGAAAACTTTACTGATGCTGTCCACACCTGATGGGCACAGAGATACCATTCCTTCCCTTTTCCATTCTGAGTTCTCACAGGGAATAAATCAAAAATGATTTAAGCCTCAGATACTCAATACAGACGGGTGCAGTCATAAGGGGGGGGGGGGGGGTGGAGAAGGGCTGACATTTGGACCTCACAACATGTGGCAGCTCACAACACGTGCCAAACATACTAGTGGTACTTGGGTCTTTTCCCTCACCCAGGGGGAAATTAATCACTGTCTTTCGCCTCTGGTAGTACGTTTAGTACGAAGCTGACTGTGGTTGATCCCCTGGGAGAGGGAGAAAGGCCCAAGTGCCATCAGTATGTGTGGCACATGTTCTGAGCTGCCTTTGGAGTGAAGCCCACTTTGTGGTGGGCCAGATCTACTCAACTCACAACTCTTTAGGCGCCACACCTGCGCCTTGAATCTGGAGTGCGGTGGCGCTGCTATGGATGCGGAGAACTCGACCTGCAGCCGAGTCTCAAGCTAACAGTGAAGTTCTTTTTTGACTGGTCAACGCCTTCTAGGTTCGGCCTTGTCCCATAGCTCAGCTGGTTAGAGCATTGCTTATGACAAGCACGGTCCCGCGCGGGTCTGGCATATTTTTTCTCTTTTCAAGCAGGTCACTTCCCCAACTGATCCTTTGAAATTTGAAGTTTTCCCAACTCTTATAAATGAAAATAAAGTCAATTGGCAGGAAGCGTGAGCTCCGACGTTTGGATTAGACGCCGTCTTTGCTTTCTTTGACAAGGTTTTGAACGATCCGTTAGAACTTACTGTAACAACCGGCAGTATTTTGCCACATTCCCTTATAAGGATAGGCAGGGGTGTTCTCGAGCACGGATTTTCTGTAGCCCTGCTTGCACGTCACATGACCTTCTTCGTCAATGTACTGAAAGCCTTCATACCTGTGAATACCCCGGCTGGTCATCGAACCGGCTAGCAAACGTGCTCCTGAAGCACATAAAGTCAAATGCACGAATTAGTGGTCAAAGCACTAAACACAAGATACCGCAAAGCAGTGAGCGTACTTGGCGAGAAATGTATTATGAGCAGTGGAATTGATTGATTCAAGGATAGCCATTCTGTACTGTCAGCCACCCACCACATAACCCAAAGTACACTACATGACCCCTTACATAGTCGAAGAATTCTGAGGTCTTCAGATTTTGAGAAATGAAGTGACATGAACTTTTCATTTTCATTGACATGACTTTGTGTGGATTACGCTACGAGTACACGGGGTGCAGTACACCGCTGAATAGTTTGCTGAGTATCGCCGGTAAGAGAGCATATATGAGAGCATACGCCGGTATACCCCGACTACGAATGGGAATGTGCATTTACCCCTGGTCAGGTGAAAGCTTTCATGTATTGACTTTGGTGCTAGGACATAATATCATCCATGTCAGCGTAGAAACTTCATCCTCCGGAACAGATGCTGTCCACCTATGCACACCGTACTCTCGGCCCACATTCACCACACTATAGCGAGGAAGCTTGTTCTTGGATAGATGTCCCACATCCTACAGACAGCTGTTCCGCTTATTGAGAGCTCCTCAGATAAAGGAATAAGTATATTTGATAAGGTCAATGTAAAAGTGAAATTGCGATCTTTCAGGCTTAGAATTTGACATAACCAAGGACGTCGAAGGTGACGAAAGGTCTAAAGGCGATGACTAAATGCAGCGTGCAGCCTCGGCATGCATATAGTTGGCGCTAGACTTTAGACAAGCGCGTGAAGCAGACAATCGATTAGACGTTCGCACTAACATTGCCACACATCATCGCAACATGCATAATGAGTGGTTCAATAGTGATGTGACGACGAGTTGAGACGAACGGAAGACCAGACGAAGCACCAGTGCCAGAGATACGTTGCTGGGTGCTGAACGAAACAGCTGTTTGGAGGATATAGAACATCTATTCAAAAAGGAACTTCTCGCCCGGGGTGTGGTGAATGTGGGCCAAGAGTGCAGTGTGCAGTGTGGAGAGGTGGAGAGGTGGACCGTTCAACTGAGTTTCAAATGGCTAAGTTCGTCACGACTTTTGAGGCAATAAAACGAATTGTAGAAACCTCGTCTGCTTTTTTGATTCCTATAAAAATTCCAAGTGTGAAACGATGGAGTCGATAAATCGACTGGCCAGTCGATACGGTTTAGTTGATACGGGTCTGTTGGAACATTGAAATCTACAATGTGCAATGTGTTGAAACCAGCAATGTGCTTGTATGTTTCTGTTCTCTTGTGCATGGGTGTGTAACCATGCATGCGCATGAATGTATCCGTAAATATGCTGTGTGCGTGTTCATGTCTGAGGACAATTTCAGTTGATAACCAGTCGATAGCCAGTTGACAGGAGTGAGTATAGTCGTTGTAAGTGATTTGGGTCAGTCGTTTCACCCCTAAAAAAACTCAGCCTCAACATTTCTCCTCTACACGAGCATCAATACAATAATTATCAAGCAAGTCAGTACATTTTAAAAATGCATGCAGTGAGTAGCAATTCAATATACTACGACTGTACTAGTTACACATCTATAATCTTAATCCACTCAACTTCGCATCTATAATCTAAATCCACTCAACTTCGCATCTATAATCTAAATCCACTCAACTTCGCATCTATAATCTAAATCCACTCAACTTCGCATCTATAATCTAAATCCACTCAACTTCGCATCTATAATCTAAATCCACTCAACTTCGCATCTATAATCTAAATCCACTCAACTTCGCATCTATAATCTAAATCCACTCAACTTCGCATCTATGCAACACATGCGTTCGCCTATGTTGGCTTCACTGTGCGCATGACATGATCATTTTCTACACAAAATGTATGCACATGCCAAATGTGTTGAAGCTCTCCAAAGAGCGGCTGCCAGTTAACAAACCACTTTCAAATGTGTACAACGCAATGCTTCACCTGCAAATGTTCAAGGTATAACAGCCTTTTCTTGATTTCCCACTACTTACCAACACAAACCGACGCAAAATGCCTTGTGTCTGGTTCTCTGCCATGAACCGTGAACCAGAGAGGGATTTGATCAAACGTTTCCGCAAGTTGTCTGCATCCGGCATCTCCTGTCTTCATTTCAATCAATACCTTATTCCATAGTGCTGCACTTGGCAGGAAAAATCCGATGTTGCTGCGGCATGCATCCTGGGCATTATTGTAAGTCAGCTTTTCAAAAGTCTTGGTGTGGACGAGAACTTTCCAATTTCCGCACAAGCTTTCAATCTTTCGAGTAGTGCGTTCTGGGAAACAAGAAAGGTGAAATGCTCAGGGTTTAGTTTTCATTGTATGGGAAATTCAAATGGACACCGAAGAAACATGGCGTTGTTGAATTAGTTTGTGCTTTCGTGTGTTTTATAATTTGGAAGACAACATTTTAAAATGATACTTCGAAGTACGTTGACTACACCATCACAATCATCGTCGCATTCTGTGGCAAACAACACCCACTTCCCACAACAGCCCCATGCAGTTCTGAAACGTAATTTCTTCTGACAGCTGCTTCCATCATTTTGATGATTCTGTACTGGGAAACAGGTATCACAGTTCGGGAACTCTGAATAGTTCAAATTGTGCCCATTATGAAGTGACTTCTTCAGATAGTGTTTCAGTCTCAAAGTAATGAAATGCCAGGTTTCATAGCGTCTAGCTTAATTGAATAGGGTTAATTTAAAGGTGCCGGCACTTGCAGAACACGGCTCCTGCTGAAACCATGAAATGGCTCGCGGTGTGCTATGCCTTTTTTGCTCGGGTTTGGAATCTAAATTTGTTTTTCATCTGTGTCCGTAATCGAAAGATTTATGAGTAGTAGTATTTTTCTAGCTTTAACTCATCTCGACATGGAACATTACTTTCTCGAACTTTCAGCTGTCAATCAAGGAGGGAAGATATCAGTACTTAGTAGCTTTTTAAAAGCACTTCTGCTCTCTCCTCCATTTATCTATCTTACATTCGCCCTATTCTTGAGTATGTTTGCACTGTCCTCTCACTGTTGTTGTTTCGAATCTTTATTCTCACGATAGCCAGTGGCCAATAAGAGATAATAGTGAAAGAAAGGAGAAAGAGTGAGAAAGAATTGGGTGGGCAGAGCCAAGGGGTTAATGACTACTTACGTGTATGGGCAGGGGTGGTCGCTACACGAGCATACAGAGTTGTGCAACAGCAGGGATATCTGGGATTTGAAGCGAGTGCGAGAAGGGATTTCGCGAAGCTGGGTGGGCAAGCAATTAAAGTAATGAAGGGCCTTGTACAGGGGAGAATGGAGACAGCGATCAGTCCTCGGAGTTGGCAAGTGCCAAGTACGAGAGGTTATATGAAGGTTGCACGTTGCTAGCAGTATGCAGCGAGAGTATTATGTGGTGGGGCATAATCGTGGCGCAGAGAATGCGCGAAGAGTATATGTTTAACTTTAAAGCGTGAAAATAATGTTGGCCATTTGATGCGATGCAAAAGGTGGGAGTGTTCTAAGTGTGTGTAAAGGGGAAGGTGGAGACATATTCTGGCGGCTTTCCGCTGGAGTCGTTCTAGCCTGTCAAGGGAAGTGTGTGACAACGGTGTGAGAGCATTGCTCGCATATGAGAATATAGGTAGTATCAAGAGTAGATAAACAAGAGTGTGCAACTCCGGATGGATTGGCCCACGGCGGAATTTTTTGTTGACGTAATCTTTTCGACGACGCACGCGCTGCGAGCCTTTTGGAGAGTTTTCCCTCGTGCACTTGGCTGGGCTTTACTACAATTATGTATACAAGGTCGGTGCCCAGCACGTGCTCTCACACTGCTCTGCGGCAAAGCCGCGTTTCTCTGAAAAAAGGTGACGTAAACAAAAAATTCCGCCGTGGGCGCGGGGTATCTGCAGATTGTGCAGGAGAGATCCGGAGTTGCACACTCTTGTTTATCTACTCTTGGTAGTATGTATGTCTGATAGATGTGAGATAAAGAATCACTGGTGAGTGTAGACCTTAGCCTAAAAAGAATATTGAAAGATCGAAAAGTGATTTTTTGACTACGTATTCAACATGCTCCGTCCAACGGAGGTCATGCTGAAAGATTATTCCGAGGTGTTTGTGTTTTTGTGCTACGGAAAGCGGACTATTCCTGAGGGTGATCTGGGGTAGCTGTTCGGGGGGGGGGGGGGTTATTGTGGTAGAACGGGAGGATGACTTTTTTCTTTGTGTTAACCAGCAGGTGCCATCTTTGAAGCCAGTCTCCAGCTGCTGTGACACTCTCTTGTAGGTTTCGGGTGCAGTCTTGAAGAGTTCTCGCTATGGAAATCAGAGCGGTGTCATCTGCAAATTGGCTACCAGTGGTGCCGGGATTCTCACATGCGTGTGGAAGGTCTATGGTGTAGACGAGGAATAGAAGCGGCCCAAGAACAGATCCCTGAGGGACGCTGGCAGGAATCTCGAGGAAAGGCGATAGGTCGCCATCCACCTGGACCCCTTTGCCGACGCCCCAACAGGTACCGTCGGAACCACTCCAGCTTGTTGCCCTGGACACCATAGTGGGAGAGTTTTGCTAGAAGGCCTGCATGCCACACACGATCGAAGGCCTTGCTTAGATCAAAAAAGCAGCCATTGCCGTGTTTCCCGTCGTCTCTCGCAGTGGAGAGGGTATGGACGAGACGGGCAAGCTGCTGCTCAGTGCCGTCTTTGTCACGGAATGCTGGTTGGGTAGGTGGGGTGTGATGTGCTTGTAGACGAGTTGATGTGCAATTTTTTCTTGGATTTTTGATGTAGTGCTCAAGAGAGAGATGGGTCTATAGTTTGTTGGTTGGGTTGGGTCACCAGGCTTGGGTACTGGAGTAATGGTGGCATTTGTTCCACTCCTGTGGGATTTCTCCGGTTTGGAATGATAGATTAAAGAGGGACGATAACGACGGTGCAAGTTCCTTAGCCGCTGCTTGGAGTAAGCGGTTTGTAATAGAGTCGAACCCGGGGCTTTTGTTGGTATCAACTCCGCGGAGGAGTTTTCGACCTCAGCTTGGGAAGTCGAGATTTCTTGAAGGGGACTGAGGATGTCAGGGGTGGTGTAGATGGCTGGAGTTTGCTCATCCGCATTGGCCACGAACAGCTTGCTCTGTGAAATGAAGAATTCGTTGAGGGCAGCGGCTTTTTGTGCTAGTGTCGTTGCAGGAGTTGGTTGTGTTGACTACGAGAAAGGACGACTGACGACATATTATCTAGACATTACAACGGGAACAGGTAGGTTGGTGGAACGACATTCATTAGAGACAGGACAAGAGACCAAGACGAACGAAACGACCACATGGTGATTATTGAAGAGTGAGAAAGAGAGGAAGAGATCAAGTCTGAACGGCAAGATAAAGGGCCTGGGTAGCTATGGCAATTATGGGCGCGCAAGTAGCTACCCAGGCCAACGGAACAAAAGGAGACAAAATGTGAGTGCGCGAGTGCATGCAGGCCAGCTAGAAAAAGTACGGGAGGAGGTACCTAACATACCTCCCCTGAGTGAGAAAAGAACCGCGACCTCCCGGGAAATAATAAGACGATGAGAAAAATAGAGAGAAACAATGACCGAGGAAGAAGAGAAGAAAAACAAAACAAAACAACAAAAAAAACACTCACACAACGCACGGGCCTCACAAAAGTGTGTACTAAAAAATGCACTACAGATCATTACAACCGTCAACGTTCCTGTACTACTTATACTATAGTGTGTACATGTACACTGGCAATAGCAACGGGCCCAAACGCCCCTTCAAAAACATGGCACAAAAAATAACTTTTGGAGTTCGACGAGGGACTTGAATTGTATTCTGATGACTAGTATTTTGCACAGCTAATAGAGCCTAGTTACACTTTAATATACGACATAAATAAAATAGCGTGGCTCACCATGATCGGACCCCTAATATTAAAGGGGAAGTTAAGGCAAAAATTAAAATTTCACCAGTTGTAGTCTTCGGGGTGCTGAGTCGAATGGTCTTGGTCCGAGAAAGCTGAGACGCTCCCTTCCTACTTGAATCCCAATCGAACTTGCGCACTTCCACCGAAACTGGGTGACTGCGCCCTACGAGATGGGGATTTGTATGCAAAATGTCACTAAAAGCGCCATTTCGTTCTTCTAAAAGCACGGATGACCGCGATTGGCCCATATGTTGTAGTCTTTTGGACGCTGAGTCCACTGGTTTTGGTCCGAAAAGGCTGCGATGCAGCGTTCCGCCTTTATTCCCAATCGAACATGGTTGAAGAAGCGGTCACGTGCTCCTGCGTACACCAGTCACCTGGTCACCGTGCCTGCAGGGTACAACTTACAGCCTGTTTTGACCTTTTTTGGGTGCAGTCCTGTCACTCGAGTTGAACCTTGGTGTGAAAGTTGTCGCCTGCTGGCGTGGTGACCAGGTGATTTTGGCACCCAGGAGCACGTGACCGCTTCTTCAACCATGTTCGATTGGGAATAAAGGAGGAACGCTGCATCGCAGCCTTTTCGGACCAAAACCAGTCGATTCAGCGTCCAAAAGACTACAACATATGGGCCAATCGCGGTCATCCGTGCTTTTATAAGAACGAAATGGCGCTTTTAGTGACATTTTGCATACAAATCCCCATCTCGTAGGGCGCAGTCACCCAGTTTCGGTGGAAGTGCGCGAGTTCGATTGGGATTCAAGTAGGAAGGGAGCGTCTCAGCTTTCTCGGACCAAGACCATTCGACTCAGCACCCCGAAGACTACAACTGGTGAAATTTTAGTTTTTGCCTTAACTTCCCCTTTAATGAAGGACACCCGCGCGCACACACACTACAAAAAAATCACGAAAATAAATTTGACGAAGAAGGAACGCATACAAAAAAAAGAAAGAGAGAAAGGTAGCTGACCTGCATGGCTTGAATGAGACGAGGTTGACGTCACGCGAGCTGTTTCAGATGAAGACATTTTTCACAGAGTGGAAGCAATGGCAGCTTGTCTTCTGGCAGGAATACCCCTTCCCATGATAATCTTCCAGCATCCAAATGATCACCAGCTATAATGGGTTCACCTCTCAATACTTCGAAGTGCATGGATAAGCAAGGAAAAAGATTTGATACACCCGCTACTCAGCCACAGCCCTGCATCAAAGTTGCAATGGAGAGCAGCCAAAGGAGACGTGATAGTGCTAAGAAGTGGTGGAGCTCGTGAAAGGTATTGTAGCAGCTTCAGAGGCCAATCGGCTACAAAAATCCCTTCCTGGAAGTTTGACAATGTGCAGCCTTTCTTCCATTTTTGTTCCAAACCAAGAGCATTATAGGCTTTTATAGCCCTTGTTTAAGCATCATAATCACCATTATGAGGCAGTTTTTGGAGCATTGTCATTAGCATAATACAAACGCATTATTCGCTGGACCCTAGCTACAGGCCATCGTGAGATTATCCAATGTCAACCAACTAAGAACATAGTGGACTAAGAAAATAGTGGACTAAGAACATAGTGGACTAAGAACATAGTGGACTAAGAACATAGTGGACTAAGAACATAGTGGACTAAGAACATAGTGGACTAAGAACATAGTGGACTAAGAACATAGTGGACTACTAAGGGAGTGTAGGGGTTATAAAAGCTGTGCAGGTGAGGTGAAATTCGCTCACCATGAGTGTGAGGGAGAGAAGAGAGATTGTGTGGGAAAGTGTGAGAGCCTGAGAGCGAGAGGAGGAGCGGGAGAGAGAGAGAGGGAGAGAGAGAGAGAGACGGAGAGCGAGAGAGCGAGAGAGCGAGAGAGAGAGCGAGAGAGCGAGAGAGAGAGAGAGAGAGAGAGAGAGAGAGAGAGAGAGAGAGAGAGAGAGAGAGAGAGAGAGAGAGAGAGAGAGAGAGAGAGAGGGAGGGAGAGAGAGAGAGAGAGGAGGAGGAGGGAGAGAGAGAGACCTTGAACAGGGTGAAACTGAGCATGTGGTAACGGGAAGTCTATCTTGTTGAGAAAATGTAAGGTGACAATTCACACCCTGAAAGGGGGTTGTAAACGGGAATGGTCTGAAGAATAGTCGACTTGAACTTGTTTTAGTAGAAAGGAAAAGGACATATGGAAACAAGTTAAGAGTAACTCTCCACCACTGTAACTAGATACTATATACAGTCAGAAAGTGCAACAACTAGGCACTACAGTCCGTTTCAAAAAGATTTGCAATCCTGGCGATCGCCTGCGCGGAGTTTGGCGTCTTACCGTATGAGCACTCGAGCGCTGCCTGGAAAAACTCACTGTGAACTCGAAGAAATATTCCGCGCGAAAGCAGGAAAAATGACAACTCACTCACGTAAAAGTCGTTGATACAGTCATGTACGTCTGTCGTCTGGTTTACAACAAACGAGTTCTTCCTCGTATCGATAATGGAGTCAGAGAGGACATGTCGAAACGAAAGTGTTGTAAATGTTGACGAGCGCGGCATGGGTCCCAATTCGTTTTGTGACCAAAATAGTTTCTTTGAGCTGCGATGCAATTTACTCACCGTGTGACGAAAACGACATCGACACGGACTCATTCCCAAGGCCATGACTTGGCAAAGCTATCCGTGTGACTTCGACGACATTTTGAGAAAAGCAGACGCTTGTGAACGCAGATAGAAGAAGGCGTTGACTGCTAAATTCAAATAAATTGGCAATCTTGAAATACTAGAATAAATCTCAAAAAGCTACAGCGCGATGACTTCCATATTCACTCACACCATTGCAGTGTTGTGGGTATGTTCACATGGCGTGAGCCAGTCAAGTGTCAGTCAGTTCGGCAGGAAGCGCGAGCTCCAACAACAACAACAAGTCGTTTTATTTGGTGCAGCCATCTTCTTTGTCTCGTGCCAGCTTGATCACCAAAACAATGAATGAAAAAAGTTTGACTTGAGGATAGGTTGGGATTTGAACTCACAACTTCATGGTCAGCAGACAGCATTCATAACCACAAGGCCAAAAAGGAAAGGATAAAAAATCGATACTGGCTTCCTGGGCAAATTGTAAACCATGGGAAAAGGCCGGAAACCTGGCCGAAATTCTAACTCCTTAACGGCTGATCCAATTGTTCCGAAACCTTCACAGAACAATTTGCCGTATCCTAACAAGCCATTCTATGTACTTTGTTGTCCAAATTTCCCTTATCTTCATACTTTTTAAGACCCACACCTGATTGTAAATCTTTTTGAAAGAGACTGTAGGCAACTTGGTCTTTCTATAACCTTGAACCTTCCAAGTTGGAAGGCTGTCGGTTAGCGCTACGGAAATGTGTTGAAGCTAGGTGTCAGGACGTCGAATGTCTCAGTACTCTGTCAGTTTTGTGCCTAGTTGTTGCATTTTCTGACTGTATATAGTATCTAGTTACAGTGGTGGAGAGGTACTCTTAACTTGTTTCCATATGTCCTTTTCCTTTCTACTTTTATTATTGGCTCAATACCCGAGTTTCAAATTGTACTTGTTTTCTTTCTTTTTTTCCTTTCTCTTTTTCTTTTTGAGTATTTGTAGTCTGTGTTTTTCTCTCTTTCATGGAGGTTTGTTTGTTGTATCCTTGGCTTTTGGCCGTTACTGTATCGCCATCATAATATTGTGCACCATTGCCCGTTTGGTCTGCGATACAAAATAAAATTTGAGAATAAAGAATTCAAAATTCAAAAAAAAACTGTCTCCACCACTCTTTGTGGTTAAAAATGAGACTGGGTCAGCAAAAACCATCTAATGCGTTTCTGTGTAAGATATGAGCGCTGGTGTGCGTCGTTCTCGTTTTGCACTAGCACTCGCTGATCTGCCAATCGCGAATACTTGAATCGAGAGGTCTTTGCTCTGAATCGTCCCAGTCACCTGAGGCGATTGTGAGGACTAGTGAAGGAGTCGTTCATCGCAAAACAGTATCCACTTCGTCGTCATCCTCACCAGCACTGCAGCCAAAGGGAGGTAGATGTATGTGCACAGGTCTCCCAGCCGTGTCGCTTGACATACCAAGCTGATAATCACACGCAAGCAGAAAGAAAGACTAGTGACGAGAAGGATGGAAAGGTGACGAGTAGTTGTCAGGCCCCGCGTCTCTTCTTTCGCTCGTCTTCAAAGTCAGTTCCTGATCAATTTGATGTCAAAATGCATGTGACTGTTTTGCTGATCAGGGCTTCTTACTCGGTTTATGGTTTCTAAAGCTTTATCGTTCACCTTAATTCAAACTACTTGAAGTAGACAGCTCTTACTTGATCCGGGCTCTACTCTTCATTTATCTCAATAGACTTTTCGAATGTTTCTACTCAGTGTCACTTGTGAGGTTGGCGTGGGCTTGAATTTTTAACTGCTCAGCTGTGCTATTTGTTGAGCTGTGGACAAGCGTGAATGGCATCATACCCATGTACATGTACTTACTGCCGCAAAGCAACGACGGTCGCTTATTATTGCAAAAGATTTCTAGAGAATCCAGTGCTACTGAATATGAGTCGTGCCATTGGTGTGATCGAATTGTTTGACCGTCTGGATAACTCGGGTAGCGAACCCCGCATTGTGCATTTCCAGAGTAGATTGAATAAATACGATAGTCACCCTGTAGGAACAAGAGGCAATATCATTATCAATCGAGTTCAGAACGACACAAATCTCGAAGGAAAATAATAATAGTGACAACATAGTGAGCAAATTAAGTGTCGAAAACATTTGTGTCGTTCCGAACTTGATAATTGTCCACCTTGTCATGAGTGTTGGTATCTTATTATCTTTACGCTATATACGTTTAATAATTATAATAGTCGGCGTGGAGAAAGCAATTTTATTAGTGCAATTAGGAGTATAATCGATGCAGACATGGCCAGACAACAACGAGTTCATGGAATTTTTTAAGGATTTTTATGTTATTCAAAATCGATTTTCGTGTTATCCTCATCAGTGAATAGTATCGGAACTGAGGGTACTGTGTACAAAAATAGAACATTTTATAACAGCATAATTAATTAAAAGTGTGAACAACAAAGGAAGTGCTACAGCATTACATAATAGGTGTCAAACATAGTGCTAACGTATATAACTGAGTGCAGCCACAAAGCTGCACTCAGTTATATTATATACGTAAAGCTAATGTTGTGTCATGTTGCACTGTATCACCTCTTGCTTTGTGGCTGCACTCAGTTATATACGTTAGCACTATGTTTGACACCTATTATGTAATGCTGTAGCACTTCCTTTGTTGTTCACACTTTTAATTAATTATGCTGTTATAAAATGTTCTATTTTTGTACACAGTACCCTCAGTTCCGATACTATTCACTGATGAGCGGAACACGAAAATCGGTTTTGAATAACATAAAAATCCTTAAAAAAATTCCATGAACTCGTTGTTGTCTGGCCATGTCTGCATCGATTATACTCCTAATTGCACTAATAATAATTATAATAATAACTTTATTAGGATGACCTATCGAGGGGTTCACCGCGTTGAATGGTTGTGGTATGACAAAGCAAAGAGGCAACCATTGTGTGTGTGTGTGGGGGGGGGGGGGGGTTAGTCTTTCCAACTTGAGCCATTCCCTGAACAATCCTTGATGAGAAGGGACCGAAAACGTTCGGATACTTTATGACAAGTGCCTTATTTGACTGGATGTGTGTGTGTTTGCGTGGATACTTGCGACTTAATACTTACCTTCATTTAAAAAATGCTATTATACTGATACTGAGCCAATAAGGATAATTAAAAGTATAATTAAAGGGCAAGTCCGGTGAAAAATTTAAATTTCAGGGTCGGTAGAGTTTCGGGCGCTGAGTCGAATGGTGTTGGTCCCACGTCTCTCCGACAAAGCGTTCTCAAGATATTTCCGTTTGAAAAACTGAGTTTCGGGGGGCTGCGCCATGACGTCATGCAGCCACGCCACACCCTCCACAACGTCATAGCGTGCAGCTAGGTCAAAAGGAGTGTGTGAAAGCAATAGTGTCAGTGCTATTTCAAATGATTTGGCGACCGATAGTAGGTGGTGCAAGCGACCCCGAAGACGTAACTCCTTGTGAGGGTGAGAATGCGCCATGGCTGACCATCATGAGTTCGGTCTGGGGCTGAGAACCTCGGTATTCAGCTGAAGGAATGGCCGCGCGGGCCGGTCAAGAGTGAGCGTTACTGAGTTTCCGACTGATGAAGAAGCAGCAGCTATTGGAGACGAGGCTGATATAATTATCAGATCGCTGGAGATGTGGTAAAACACTTAACTTTCTACTGTACAATCATGCACACACTGTCGCGGACAGCTGGCCAGCAGCTGCCGCGACAACTTCAAGCCCATGATGGGAGAGACCTGGTTTGTTGTTACTTCTTTCATCACATAAAGAACACTGCTTGGAGAGAGAAAACTACCGAGAGAAGGACACGAAGCACTACAGGAGAGCGCTCCGAAAAAGGATTCGCTCGCAGGGCAGTGTACGCATGCCATGCCAGCGTACTGGGTGCAAAAATGTGAAACCAAAAATAGATAATGATTTTGCTGCGTGCAAAAGCCAGCCAGTTTGGGAAGTGCATCGTATACGCATAGCAATCCCGCGATCGCGTATCGACGCTAAGATGGCGGCTGCACTGGAGCGCTCCCAGTGCGTGCATGCAAAAAAGGAAAATAAATAAATCAGAAAATGCAGTTCAAATAAATCGACCGTTCGATCGAAGAGATCAAAATAATTCCACAAATGCAATTCACTTCAGAACAAGATTATAGAGCGAAGCTAGTCATGTGTCAAGCTACCTTACTACAAATACTTACTATAGCTATAACTGAGCTATGGGCAGCGGACCTGGACCCTATCGCTCCTGGCATATACCTTAGGTAAGAGTGCGACGTAAAGACAAATTGTAAATACTGTAAATTCAAATTGCACTCGTAACATGTATTCAAATATTAACAGTCCGGCATTCGCACATATTGCGACAGGAGAGCAGAGTCGCCAAAATGGAGAAGAGTGATGCGAGTGCTCTAATGTTGTTCCATACCGATTCGCTTAGACTCCAGTAGCCTGCCACATGGTGATGTTTTGGTGCGAACTAACTTGGCATATTTGGGACTACTAGTACTCAATTGGAAAACAGTGCAGGCTCTTTGAACCACGGGCACGACTCTTCGCTCGCAACGCTACGGGATCTGAAAATTCAAGGTCCGGGAGCTGTTTGCTGGTTTGTCACTTGTCACAGTGCAGGCTCTTTGAACCACTGGCACGACTATTCGCTCGCAAAGCTACGGGATCTGAAAATTCAAGGTCCAGGAGCTGTTCGCTGTTTTGTCACCTGTCACGGTTGTGCACTCACCGCTGTAGCATAAAATAATGAGGCAGGAGCGGAAAACTAAAATTTTCTTTCTCAAAGCACAACCACCGTCACTGGCGAGGAGAAACGCACGTTCTCGGACTACGTGACTGACTGTACGACTGATACGAGTGTAGACTGTAGTACATGACAAGTCCGTGTGTTGACTAGTTTTCTGAGTGACTCGAGTCTTGTTGTAGCTACCCCAGCACGCCAGTGCGGGAATAGTTCCGTGTGTGATGAGTTTGTTGACTACACTATAATTCTACAGCTAGCATGCACACAGCACATTGCTAGAGCCGTAGAGGCCAGTGCATGCGGACGGAAAAAGTCCAACTCGGAAACGGCTAAAATACGGTATAACCTCGAAGTTTACCGATCTGAAAATCACAGGGTACGTAGTGTTTGTATCACTTAATTGAATGGTCTTGGTCCGAAGAAGCTGCGACAAACGGTTCCCCAATCGAACGCACTCCGAATACGGCCATTTTGTACACAGCTAGATGGTGTGGCTACCTGGCTGCACGCTGTGACGTCATCACCTGGATCTGGGTGATGCGCACTCCAATTCGCACATGTTCGATTGGGCGTATCTGACGAACCATAGGCCGCAGCCTCCTCGGACAAAGACCATTCGGCTCAGCGACCCGAACTCTACGGACTGTGAAATTTTAATTTTTCCCTGGACTTCCCCTTTAAAAGAAATCACATGGAAACGAGTTTTGAAGCGACTATCCACAACTGTAACAGAATAATAAGCATTCAGAAAGTGCGCTAACATGGCACAAAACTGACATGTCACTGTGACATTCAACCACCTGAGACCTAGCTCTCACACACCTCCAGTACGCAAACCAACAGCCGTCCAGCTTGATGGTGGTGGTGGGGGGGGGGGGGGGCGTCATGGTCCTGTAACAGACGGCATTATTTGTTGCCGTGGGACTTACCTTGTGCACATTTTCGCTGCGGTCACCTTCCCCTTATTCGTCTTTCCATAACCTTGAACCTTCCAAGCTGGGAGGCTGTCGGTTTGCGCACTGGAGGCGTGTGAGAGCTAAGTCTCATAGCGTTGAATGTCACAGTAACATGTCAGTTTTGTGCCCTGTTATCGCACTTTCTGAATGCTTATTATTCTGTTACAGTCGGGGATAGGTGCTTCATGACTCGTTTCCATGTGATTTCTTCTATTTTAATTATTATCTGAAGAAGAGGTTGGTGCGACTTCGGCGATAACTGGGGAATTGCGTGTTGCTCCCTACATGGGAGCTCGCGCTTTTTCTGCCGACTTGAATTCTCACTTGACTGACTCACGACAGCCATCCAGAGCACACAAGAAGTCCATCGAACCGTCGACTCGGCAAACCTGCAAGAAAGCACCACTTGTAATTTCGCCAACACTCCAAAACACTCCAAAGCTGTGCTTAGTATATGTCGATAGTCCCGTTTCGGCTGTTCTCCACCGCTGGTGTTGGTGTTGCCAACGATTGGTGGGCTCATATGGTAAGATGCAGCCGCACGCTCTGTCAACCAATCTGACAAGTCCTTCAGCGTGCAACGGCGACCAAGACTCTGCACATGCTCTCCCCAGCGGAGGCGCAGCTCGCTTGGCAGCTTTGCCACGATGTCTTGGCGGAGCTGCGGATTCGCGAGATGATCCGTCTCCTCCAACAGCTCCATGGTGCTTACCAGGTTCCGCACAGCACTGGTGAGCTCGATTATGCTCTCCAGATCCACTGTTTTAATGCTGTTTAATTCCTTGGTGCGCTTTATGAGCGACTGGATGATGAGGTCAGGGTTGCCAAACCTGAGCCTCAGCATGCTGATCACCTGGTCAACATTGTCAGGAACTGTCAGCATTCCCGCCACAAGGTTTCGCGCCTTTCCCTTTAGCGCCTTTGCCAACCGAGCCATGTTCTCACTTGGAGAAAACTCACACTCCCGTGTTGACCGCTCATATGAGCTTAGGAAGGCGGGCCACTCCTCGGGGCTTCCAGAGAACAGTGGCAAATCTTTGTGGGCACTCTGCCGAGCGACAAAACGCTTCATATGGTCAGTGCTGTTAGGCGCCATGGCCTTCATGGCAGCCCCCAAAGCTGATGCCAACTGCTCGACCGGTTCCGATTGACGCTGGAGCATGGCCTGGTATGCACGCTCTTTAAGGAGGCTCCCACCTAAAGAAGCAAAAATAAAAGGTCCATGGACACCCTGTTTTTTATGCATAGAATGGTGAAGTGATGTCTCCTCTTCAATTTGGCATAGTTTTTAGGTAGGGTCAC